CAACAGTGAACTATCCATGTAGTTTTTCATTTGAATATTTTTAAAGTCATTGATTTTATTTAATAAGAGAACGATTAATAGGTGATTGTAGTAATGTAAAGCATGAAATAAATGAAAGAGTGAAGTAGTGAATTTAATAATCCAAACCATAAAATATCTACTAAAATCTCCCAAAACCCGGTGTCGCAAGTGCATGAGCAAACTAGTAGAATATACAAAATCTCCTATACTACAGTCTGGAGTAAGATAGGTAAAAAAAAATACAATAAGAGAGACTCCGGGCGCTGAAGAACGGACAAAAGAAAGCAGCTCACCACTAAGTTTCCAGGTAGCGGGGGTACGCGCCTGGATGATTGCCAGATGCACCTGCCTCAGATCGTGCACGATTAGTGCACAAATGTAGAATGAGTACAGAAACAACATGTACCCATTAAGTATCTAATCTAACATCGAAAAAGTAGTGACTAGGGGTCGACATTGACACTTACTAAGGGTTAATAAATAAAGTGCATAAATTATGGATAGGCATGGAATACATCAGTAATAACGAAATAATGAACAATAAGTAAGTGGTTTTTAGCTAAATATCAATTAAAAGTTCCAACTATCACATGCTAATTTCAACAAATAAGAGCCATCAAGTAATTATAAATTCTCAAGCCATGGAAGAAATATCAAGTATAATCGGACTCTGAGCAATATCATGCAAGATTTATGCCGAGGTCATACGACCCGATCCAGAATAGTATGTGCACTGCCGAGGGTCGACCGACACGAATCATATATGCATCTATTATACTGTCAACGCGTTCGACCCGATCCACAAGAAGAAAGAATATTCTACGAACTCTGATTAACGGCTACTACATAAGATTAATACTCATGGAAGGTATAATTCCCACCAAATGTCAAGTAACCTGCCAAGAATCAAAGTAGTGAAGCTCAGTTGTTACAAATCCATTATCAAATTTCAACTATAGTTGAAGTAATTAAGCAAACAAGTTGGGTACAAATAATACAAGTAATACATGGTAGAGTCCTAAAACTATCGGGACATAAGCATGATTTTTAGCTACATGTGGACTATCGTCATATAGCATGCACGTAGCACCCTCAATTAGTAGCAAAACAATCATTTATAGCACCTACGGGAAAATTTTCTCTTACAAGGTTAGGCAAGAGACTTACCTCATTTTCAAGTCCTCTTCCTGGTCCACAATTCACACTAAAGCCTCAAATCAGTGTCATGCAATCCGAAACTAGCCAAATATTATATAAATTAATCAATGCATACTCAAAAGTTTATAATTTAACTTTTAGAGTAATTACCCAATCCAAGTTGGAAGATTCTTAATTAACTCCCAGGCCCACGTGTCCAGATTCCAGAAATATTTGCAATAAATATTACCCATAACCTCACGAATACAAATATATAATCTCTACTCAATTCAGTAAACATTTTTGTGGTCTAATCCAATTTTTATCAAAACCTAGGTTTTTCAACAAGCTCCTAAAATTTTCACATTTTACATGTTAAAATCTACCCATAATCTATGTATTGAACTCACATTGTGTAGAAATCACTTACCTTCAATATATAGGTAAAAACCCCTCTCCAAGAAGCTCTAAAATCGCCCAACAAATGAGAGATGAACAAAATAGCCAAAATCCCGACTTTAAATCCAACAGTGTCTAGTGGTTCCTTCTTCGCGATCGCGAAGGCAAACTGCCCAGCTCAGGAAAAATTCCCTTCGCGAACGCAGGACCATCCTCGCTAACGCGAAGGCTTGGCTGACTTGCCCCTCGCAAATGCCACAGCCTCAACGTGAATGTGATGTCCATCGAGAACGTGAAGGCCCGAGAGCGAACGCGAATGCGAACGCAAAGGCCAATGGAACTAGGGCAAAAATGCGTAGGGCAAACGCGATCCCGTTCTCGCGAACGCGTAGGGAAACATTGCAACCAGGTTCATTCCTTCATCACAAATGCGACCACTACTCTGCGTTCGCGAAGAAAGGAACTAGAACAATAAATGCCTGGTGTTTCCGACTTAGCTCCGGGTGGTCCGAAACACACCCGAGCCACTCGAATACCGTCCAAATACACCAACAAGTCCATAAATATAATATGAACATGCTTGAACTTTCGGAACATGTAAATCAATAACGAAACTAAGAATCGCATCCCAAAACCAAATTGGATCAACTTATGAATTTCAAACTTCTCAACTAGCTCCGAACGCGCCGAATCATACTTAGACTACTCGGAATGACACACAATTTTGCGTATAAGTCATAAATCACCATACAAACCTATTCCTAGGCTCGGAATCCCAAACGGACCTCGATAATACCAATGTCTACTTCTAACCAAATTTAAAGAACTAGAAAGCTTTTAATGAACCAAATTTCAACATTAAGCGTCGAAACGCTCCCGGATCGCCTGAAACCCGGTATGAACACACGCCCAAGTCCAAAATCATCATACGAACCTATTGGAACTATAAATCTTGGTTCCGATGTAGGTTATTCAAAATATTGACTCAAGTCAAACTTGTCCATTCTAGGCCACTATCAAGGAACTAAGTGTTATGATTTTAACCCAAACCCTTCCAAACCTAAATCAACCATTCCCGCAAGTCATAAAATAGTAAAATCATATACGGGGAGTGTTAAATTAGGGGAATGGGGATCTAAAAGCAATACAACCGATTGGGTCGTTACAAAATTATCCCATAAATATGAAGAAATATTTGCGCTAAAAAATGGGTTATCATTCAAAGAGCAACTAAAGACCATGCCTAGAGTCGTGGTCTTGAAACAAAAATTATGGGAGGCAAGCCCAAGTGACTACAAGGTCCAAGACTATCGAAGAATAGTAAAATAATTCAATTACAACTTCGATACAAATTATATCTTTCTGAAGCGCGTCAATTAAAGAAGAATTGAATACAAGGAGGTTCGGAAAGCATGCTCATATAATTTTACGACAAAGACAAAATTATTTATTTAATTTGGAGAAAAATGACAACCATGTTTAATTTAATTAGTTAGGTATACACCGATTCTAAATTAATTAATCATGTTATAAAATATATTCAACATCTCATAAAAACTTCAAGAATTACTTAACAAACAATATTGCAAGTTAGTCCGATTATTAACTAGATGCAATTCACCCCAAGTGTTTGGCAAATAAATAAACATAAAAGCAAGCAAGCAAACACGACATCTATCTACTACTTTACTATACTTTACATTTTGGGTACATCCAAGAACGGGATGTACGAAGCGAGGAGCTTGACGGGGATTTGTCAATCCAAGCATCATCTTTAAAAAGAGACTTCCTATGATTGTACCTAGCAAAAGAGAAGCAAAATTATTAGTAAGATAATATAAAGCAAAATAAATTAAATATTACTAATTTTGAAATGATTTTCCTTTGAAAATACTTTTATAAAAGATCGTTTTTCTTTTAGAAATGTTTTTTTGAAAATTATTTTAGAAAAAGACTTAAAAATATTTTTCGAAATTGTTTTAGAAAAATGATTTACAAAATATTTTTGGAGGCCCGGATGGTGTATGTCGTACAACAACAAGACATTGGAATGCGAATACTTACTTTGTAGCAACTCTGGCGGCCAACCGTGCTTTTTGATGCATGAATATTCACATTCTCGTCTTTTATTTTTCTTTGGCTTTCTTCATCGCCTCATAAATATCTTTTTGTTCCGGATTCGAGGGACGGTATAGTATCTTATCCTTTATCAGTTAAAAATCATCACAAGGCCTCAAAAGTTTTATTCTCATTGGCCTTTAGTGTAACATTATTCCTAAACCGTAGTCAAATGTGGCATCTGTTCTAGAAATCAATAATTCCATTAGACAAAACCATCAAAAAACCACATTCCAACAGAAGCATAGGGTCAAGAAAATCAAAATGAAACATAAATGATAAAGGATGAAAAGTGCATGTTATGAGTGTGTTTGTGTATTAATTTTTGTGTGAGTTGCGGGAGTTCACACAACTTTTGAAGTAAAAATATACTCATTACTTGTTTATTATGTGTAGGAATGAACATGCGTGGAAAAGGATCAAATAGGAGCAAAATTGGAGAAAGAAAAGTTGAAGACATAAATCAGGGACAGCGAAGCGAGGTTCGCTCCGCTAGACCGGGACCGGAGCAGAAAAATATCAACTTCTCCAATCTGAATTAGGAGAAGCGAAATTTGCCCAAACGGAACCCTAAACCATATAAATATGATATCTAGTCACTTTTTGAAGGGAGAGAAGACTTTGGGGAGGTATGGACACACTTGGAAGTAGAGAAAAGCCATAATAGAGTTTGGAACCGTGGAATTCATCTTGAGTTATTCTTTTTCCCTTATATTATAGATTTTTATGTATTCTTGGGAATTAATTGAGAGTGCTACCATGACTATGCATGGCTAAACTCGTTTATTTTGGGTTATGGTTTTACATGAATATTGATATTCAGAGATTGATTAGATGATTTAATTTATCATATTGGGTTATTTATTCATATCATGAGCCTAATTATTTTACTGCCTAGCTAACAGTAAAATACTATATATGAATCTTGAGTTGAACTTGAAAGAGATAATTCTTGATTGCAAAAGGATTGAATAGAGCACGATCTTGAACCTAGTCATTGGGGATTTGATTTGCGAATACGGATAGAAATATACTTATTGGCTGTGCTTAGCCAATTGTGCAAGATATTATTAATGCGATTTTTTCTCTCTAATCTCATAGAAATATATGGCTTAAAATTAATTGAGATCAAACCTTTACCTTCCCATTTTCGGTATGGTTACTTAGGTGCTTCAGAGTCCTTACCTGTTATTATATCACCCTTATTATAACATGTGCAAGAGGACAAGTTGTTGCGGGTTCTGAGGGAACACAAAGGGGCCATTGGCTGGACTATTGTTGATATCACGGGAATTAGTCCGTCATTTTGCATGCACAAAATATTCATGGAGGATGGACACAGACCTAGTGTGGAGCAGCAGAAACGATTAAATCCTAATATGAAGGAGGTAGTAAAAATGGAGATTATCAAGTGGTTGGATGCTGGGATCATATTTCCTATTTCTGACAGTAATTGGGTGAGTCTTGTGCAGTGCATGCTGGAAAAGGGAGGCATGATAGTTGTGGCAAATGAGCAAAATGTGTTGATACCTACCAGAATGGTGACGGGCTGGAGGGTATGCATTTATCACATGAAACTCAACAAGGCTACGCAAGGACCACTTCCATCTCCCTTTCGTTGATCAGATGTTGGATAGGCTAGCCGATATTGTTGCTTTTTTGATGGTTACTCCTGTTACAATCAGATAGTTATAGCACTAGAGGATCAGGAAAATACTACATTTACTTGTCCCATGATACCTTCACTTTTAAAAGGATAACATTTGGGTTATACATGCACCGGCGACTTTTCAAATGTGTATGATGGCCATCTTCACCGACATGGTGGAGAAATTCGTGGAGGTGTTCATGGTTGATTTTTCAGTATTCGGGGCGTCCTATGATAATTTTCTGAAAAACTTAGAGTTGGTGCTAGCACGCTATAAGGATACTAACTTGGTGCTTAATTGGGAGAAGTGTCATTTTATGATCCAAGATGGTATTGTATTGGGACATCGAGTGTCCAAGTAAGGAATTGAGACCGACAAGGCTAAGGTGGAGGGAGTTGAAAAACTACCACCACCCATCTCTATTAAGGGCGTCCACAGCTTCTTGGGACATGCAGGTTTTTATAGACTTTTCATTAAAGATTTTTCAAAAAATGCTAATCCCTTGTGCAAGTTTCTAGAGAAGGATGCCACATTCAAGTTTGATAATGCCTGTCTGGAGGCATTCGAGGAGCTTAAATTAAAGTTAGTGTCTGTGCCAATCATTATCTCACCTGACTGGAGTCTGCCCTTTGAGTTGATGTGCGATGCGAGTGACATAGAAATTGGGGTTGTTCTTTGATAGAGGAAGAACAAAGTGTTTCATTCAATTTACTATGCCAGCAAGACCCTAATTGATGCAAAACTCAATTACACCACGATGGAAAAAGAATTGTTAGCAGTTGTCTATGCTTTTGATAGGTTTCGGTCCTACTTAGTAGGAATGTATGTGATCGTGTACACGGATCATGCAGCTATTAGGTATTTAATCTCAAAGAAGCTGCTAAGCCAAGAAATTATTAGATGGGTACTTCCTTTGCAGAAATTTGACTTGGAAATCCGTGATCAGAACGACACAAAAAATTAGGTGGCTGGCCACTTGTCAAGGCTAGAAAATCAAGAGCATGTAGAGAAAGGATGGGTGATTAAGGAGACGTTCCCAGATGAGCATCTTTTTGCAGTCACACATGATCCACCACCATGGTATGCAAATTATGTAAATTTCATAGTGAGCGGATTACTTCTTCTAGAAATGCCACCTGAAGGGAGGAAGCGATTTCTATATGACATAAACTACTATTTCTGGTATAAGTCATTCTTTTATTCGCAATGTGCTGACCCACTGATGAGGAGATGCATTTCGAAGAAGGAGGTGGAGTAGATTTTGTATGATTGTCACTCATCACCTTATGGGGGACATCATGGTGGTGATAGAACAGCTGCAAAAGTTTTGCAATCGGTAGTCTATTAGACAACTCTACTTAAAGATGTCCATTCATTTGTGAAGAAGTGTGATCGGTGTCATAGAAATAGGACAATCACTTGAAAAAATGAGATGTCGCTTACGAACATTCTTGAGGTGGAGATTTTTTATGCTTGGGGGATTAATTTTATTGGACCATTCCCATCGTCTAGAGGTAAAAAATACATCTTGTTAGCAGTAGACTACGTATCTAAGTGGGTGGAGGACATTGCTTTACCTACTAATGATGCGAAGGTGGTAGCTAATTTTGTCAAGAAGAGCATTTTTACACGTTTCGGGACTCCTCGAGCTCTGATAATTGATGAAGGTACGCATTTTTTGCAATAGACTTTTGAACAACCTTCTAGCTAAATACGGGGTCAGGAATAAAGTTGTCACCGCTTATCACCCTCAGTCAAGTGGGCAAGCAGAGGTATTGAATAGAGAAATAAAGCAAATCTTGGAGAAAACGGTCAGTGAAAATAGGAAAGATTGGTTTGTAAGGTTGGATGACGCTCTATGGGCGTATATGACTGCATATAATATACCTATTGGGACCTCTCCCTACAAGTTGGTCTATGAAAAAGCATGTTACCTTCCAGTTGAGCTAGAACACAAAGCCTTTTGGGCTTCAAAAAGTTTAGCATGGATATAGAGTCGGCAGGTGAGAAGAGATTGCTCCAACTAAATGAGCTAGATGATTTCAGGCTAAATGCATATGAGAATGCCAATTTATATAAAGAAAAGACCAAAAGGTGACATGACAAGCACATCAAGCATCGCCATTTCGAGCCCGGTCAGTTGGTATTGCTATTCAATTCTAGGTTGAAGTTGTTTCATAGAAAATTAAAGTCGAGATGGTCTGGACCTTTTGAAATAGTGTGTGTGACACCATATGGGGCTATAGAGTTAAGAGCAAAAAATTCAGAAGGGACATTCTTGATCATTGGAAAAAGAGTCAAGCATTATTGAGGTGGTGACGTGGATCGTCATAAGTCCTCAATTGCTTTAAAAGATGCTTAAGAATTGGTTTCGTCATGCTGCAACGTTAAATCAAGCGCTTGATGGGAGGCAACCCAACTTTATTGCTTTCTTCTGGTTGTTATTTCGTTATTTAAAAAACAATAATATGGGGAGGCAGCAACGAAGTGGAGTTTGCTTCGCGAGATTGAGATCGAGAATGTTGAGGAGCAAATTTTTGGAGGGTAGCAAAGTGTGTCTAATTTCACGAGACTGGGACCAAAAGAGAGAAAAAAATAGAGTGGGAAGTGAAGTGCTCATGGCTTCATGACACTGGGGCTGGCCACAACTGAGAGCACAACGTGGCGCCTCTCCAGGTCACGCGTATTTTTTATTTTATTATTCTTTTATTTCTTTCCTTCTGTTTCTAGTTATTTTACCACAAAAATAAAAACTTCTCCCTCTCTCACTAAAAATAACACATCCCCATCCCCACTTTTCTTCCTCACTCTTCACCATCGCCCCATCTCTACACGGTAAGAACCCTCTTCCTCTAATTTTCTTTTCTTTTTCGTCTACTCTTCCCTCCACCATGGCAGTCCCCTCAAATTGTTTGGTGAAGTTTAGTGATGTATGAGTAACTAATCTACCTCCGTTGGCAATACGAACTTCTCTTAAGTTTGGGGTGGTAGTTGGGTGTCTTATGAACTTCAAATGTATTCTTTCTAAGACTAGTGTCATTCACGGCTGACTTAGGCACGACTTAGACGTTTCCTTCCCCACTTATTGTTGAATTGTGCTAATTAACATGGAATAAAGTTATAGATTGATATAGAGGTACTCCAGACGGTTGATTTTAGTGCTACTGATGGCACTATTGCGGAAGAGCCAGGACTAGCCGTCGTGACTGTTGCGGGTGTGGGGAATACTGCAATTGAGGTTCCTCCTATTTTGGAGGGCGAGCTAATTGAGGCAGTGGACGTGACTGGCATCACACTAGAGGAGCCAGCACTTCCGGAGACCGAGGTTCACAACCGGTCCTTTCCACGACCCTAGTGATTTTGAGGGAGTTTCTGACACCCACTATACTTTTGATCTTACTTATTTGTATTTTTGTGATATTGTGCAACTGAGGACAATGCATATTCTTACGTGTGTGGTGGAGTGTTAGACTTTGATTTTTGTGTCATGCGCTTAATTTCTAGTGCTACATTTGTAATTGTATGATCACACTTATGGCTATTGTAATTGTATAATTGTAGTCAGTTTTTTAGTGGCTTAATCCCGGATTTTCTTTAAACCACAATTCTTTCCCGAGATGCCATTTTCTTGAACATGGTATTTTTAGGTAGATTATTTTTTATAATCATTATGGACTTTTACCAACGATGGATTACCTAGTCTGTTTTCTTCAGGGACTAAAGTCTAAAGAATCTACAAAAAGAAAAGAAAGAAAAAAAAAGAAGAAAATACACCTCTTATTCCTCTTATCCGGGCTAGTGAATGCATGGTTGTGCTTAAAGAGAAAGGCCAAATTGTACATGATTTCCTGGCATTGCTTAAATTGGTTATAAAGAATGTGTATTCGAAAGTTAAGTGTAGTGTATTAAAGTGCTTAGGAGGGTTAGTCACTATACCCAAACATAGCCTACCCATCCCTTAGCCTACATTACAACCTGGAAAGACCTAACTGATCATGGACATCGTAAACTTAGATTAATAGAGACATACACTTCGGGCAAGCCTATGGTACGACCTCGTAATGCACATGAATTTCATTGAGAGAGTGAGCGAGTTATTTTGATTTGTAAGTCCTTAAATTATATTTGAATGCATATTTGAGTGTGTGGACTAATTTCTATCTTTGATTTGTGGTGAGGGCTTATGATTTATAAAGGATTGGCAAAGTCCTGGTACTTTGAGTTGGCACAAGAAGTGAGTTATAGTAGGGAATGTATTGGAGTATTCTTTTGAGGTGATGATGTTAGAAAAGTCACACAAATATTTTAAATAGTCTTGGCATGAGTCTAAATTTAAAGAATGATGTCAATAATTTTTATGTTGGATTCTAAGCATTGATATAAACCATTGTCATTGGTGTGTTATTTGAGTAAGTTTTGAAATATGTTTCTTGCCTATGCGCTTAATTGTAAGTTGCTCGACGACGAGCAAGAGTTTAAGTGTGGGGTGGTGATAAAGGGTAAAAAGTGCATATTTCAGTGTGTTTGTGTATTAATTCTTGTGTGAGTTGCGGGAGTTCACACTACTTTTGAAGTAAAAATAGGCTCATTATGTGTTTATTATGTGTAGAAACGAACGTGCGCGAAAAAGGATCAAAATTGGCGAAAGAAAAGCTGAAGGCAGTAATCTGGGATGCCAGACTGGGACCGGAGCAGAAAAAAATCAGCTTCACCAATCCGAATTAAGAGAAGCCAAATTCGCCCTAACGGAACCCTAAACCATATAAATATGATAGCTAGCCATTTTTTAAGGGAGAGAAGATTTTGGGGAGGCAAGGACACACTAGGAAGCAAAGAAAAGCCATAACAGAGTTCGGAACCGTGGAATTCATCTCGAGTTCTTCTTTTTCCCTTTTACTATTGATTTTTATGTATTCTTGAGAATTAATTGAGATTGCTACCATGACTATGCGTGGCTAAACTCGTTTATTCTGGGTTATGATTTTACATGAATGTTGATATTCGGAGATTGATTTGACGATTTAATTTTTTATATTGGGTTATTTATTCATATCCCGAGCCTAATTATTTTACTGTCTATCTAACAGTGAAATACTATATATGAATCATGAGTTGAACTTGAAATAGATAATTCTTGATTGGGAAATTGGGAACCTAGTCATTAGGAAATTAATTTGCGAATACAGATAGAAATATACCTATTTGTTGTGCTTAGCCAATTATGCAATAGATTATTAATGCGATCTTTTTATCTCTAATCTCATAGAAATATAGGGCTTAGCATAAATTGATTAGGCTAGTAGAAGTTGTCTAATTTCTACGAATATTATTTTCTTTGCAAGTTAATAAACCCGATATATTGATTAGTTGAGTTAATTGAAGTATTCAATAGAATTGTTATCGAACCATGACACCGCAATATTATTCTCACTGAATTCAACCTTTCGTGCTAGGTGTGCTTGTTAATTAGTTCTTTTAATCGTAACTTTAGTTAGTAGAATTAATCAAACAAAATCGCCTTGAAATTGTCCTTGACTCTATAAATTAGAATTTGCTTTAGTATATAATTAATCATAAGTTCTCGTTGGAACAATACTCTCCTCACTATTTATTACTTGATTGATTGCGTATAATTGCGTGTGCGATTTAGGGCAACAATAATACGTCAAAAGATGGCACACGACGCAAAACCAAAATGTTAAACGACCGAGCAGCAGCAAGACAACGGTCACCAGCTATGGAACGATGCAAGAACAGTCTTAGAATCCTGAATGAACACCAAAAGAAAGTCAATCAAATCACAACATTAGTCTAACTGAAATTAGTAGTGACAACAGTAGGTTAAGCTCCAGGGGCGTAAGAGTTAATAATCCGTCGAGGCAGCGGAGTTCTAGTGAAGCGACGACGACAACCAAATGACCTAGTAAAAAAGCTTAAAGCTTGCTGCCTAAAAAATCGAGGAGACTGCAACAGTGAACACAAACGACTCGCCGGTGATGAACTCCGGCGTGGTCGAGAAGTGAACAGAAATGAAGAGGACTCATTTCGATACCAGATCCGGATAATTCCGACCGAGAAGCAGTAGCAAAAGTGAAAATAAAGCAAGAACAACCAATGCATCGTGGTGGCTCGCTGATGACGAAGTCCGGCTGAGTTTCGCGGCCAACGATGGTGTTCCTCCTCCAATCATCATCTTTATTACGAATAAAAAAGGAAGTAGCATAACAATAACAGGTATAGACGAGTGTTCATGATACT